CGACGAAACAGTTTGTCACAGCCCCTCGTTTGTTGTCCTCTTCTCCCTCTCTGCCTACGGTTTACCGGGCAGTTCTATTTGACGATATATATATATATATATATATCGTCAAATAGAAAAAATATATATGTATATATATACGCCTACGGTTCACCGGGCAGCTTTGTTTGACGATATGAAAAAAACATTGATTTTTATTACACAAACTAATCATTTAAACGAATTACGGAAAAACTAATTTAACCGTCATCAAGCAGTCAGCACACTACTAAGAGCACACTCACACTACCGTCTTCACCCGAATAGAACGCCCGGTAATCGTAGCTGTATTTGGGGCAACTTTCAGTCTAGATACAGAGATAATTACCGGGCGTTCTATTCGGATGAAGACGGCAGGGGCAAGGTCCGACTACCTAGCAAAGAGGATTGGATTAAGCTCCTAAATCTGGACATGTGTTTAAACAGAGAAGATGCAGAAAAGCAGTTCAACCTCGATTTCATGCACCTTCCCACAATCTCGTCCAGATTCAGGCGTTCAATCCAATCCTCTTCGCTAGTGGGGACCTCGCCCTTCCCCCGAACATAACGCACCCAGATAATGAATGTATACAACCTATACTGCCGGTCAGGTACAGCCCAAATGAGGGTGCGTTCTGTTCGGGGGAAGACGATAGTGTGAATATGCCCTAGATGTTCCTTAGATCGTCGGCGAGCCTTCACTGCGTGCCTATACTGTATCGAGTCTATACTAACGTACAGGTACAACAAAGGCAGAGATCGTTGCTAAGACCTGAATGTGTTCATACTATACTATACTACTATATACTATATACTATATATTAGAATATATACTAGAATATACTCTAGAACGTATACGATATGAAGAAGAAAAGGAGGAGGAGAAGACAAGATGGAAGAGTAACTTAGGAGTAGAGAGAAGGACAAGAGAGGTAGGAGTGGGGAATAAGTAGGCGGAGATAAGCAGGAGAGCAAGCAGCAGGAGGAGAAGGAGGAGGAGAGGAGGACGGGGCCGACGAGAAGGATAGGACAAGGGGTGAAGGGAGCGAATAATGAGGAGTGGAAAGGAGGAGGAAAGAGGAGAGAGGAGAGGAGACTAGGTAGGAGGAGATAAGCAAGAGGGTAAGGAGGACAAGAAGGAGAAGACGAGGTAACCTTCAAGGAGGAGGAGGAGGAGGAGCAAGAGGAGGAGGAGGTAGTTTTCAAAATGGAGGAGGAGAGGAGGACGAGCTGGCCAGAAGGATGGGAAGGAGAAGCTGGCAGCCATCAAGGAGGAGGAGGAGGAGGAGGAGGAGGAGGAGGAGGAGGAGGAGGAGGAGGAGCCGGCAGCCTGCAAGGAGGAGGAGGTAGTTTTCCAGGAGGAGGAGGTAGTTTTACAGGAGGAGGAGGTAGTTTCCAGGAGGAGGAGGAGCTCTCAGCCTTCCAGCAGGAGGGGGAGGAGGAGCTCTCAGCCTTCCAGCAGGAGGAGGAGGAGGAGGAGGAGGTAGCTTCAACGAGGAGGAGAGGAGGAGGAGAGGAGGAGGACGAGAAGAAGAGGGCGTAGCTCTCAAGAAGCAGGAGGTGAAGCTGATAGGCTTCCAGGAGTAGGAGGAGGTGGTGGTTGCCTTCCTTTCCCTTCCTTCATGCGGCCACCTGTCGAGGAAAGCGAGCGATGACGTCATCATAAAGTCGGAAGCCATACGTACGGCAGCCAATGAGACAGCTCATCGACTTGGGGAAAAAAATGCAAATTAAACTTCTTTTTTTTTT